ATTAACAAGCTGACCAGCATAAACACACACACACCCGCACACACCCCCGCATGAATGTATGCATGTGTATGTGTATGGCAATGTTGATTTTGCCAAGAAGTGCCATCACTGTTCCCCAGAATATTTACAAGCATACTATATACACATATGTATATATATAACATATTCTCAGTCTTGTTTTCTATGGTCCAAAAATTAATTATCTCTTTGGAAAGCAATTTGTTCTCGATAGTGTGCTGTAGAGATGTACCAGCACCCTTTGTCACACCGTTTTTTAAAATTCAAGCTCACTTCCTAATATACTTATGTCAAAGTCAAGACATGATACAAAAAATCAGAAGGTCACCAATATCACTTGGACTTATTACTAAATATGGGATTCTAGCAGATGCTTTTTGCATGCATTTTGAGTCCACCCAGCAATAAATGCCTCCCTTTTTTATAAACATAAAGACATGAATTATTAAAAAATTAAAGACATTTAGAATAATGGTCCTCCATACGCAAAGCATTTATTTCAACCTTCATCATTCATAGTTTATTGCATTGATTTTTTTTCATCAGTTTACTTAGTATTAGGCTTCCACTGAACTCATCAATAAGAAATGAATTTTAGTAACTTTCGAATCCACTTATTATTTTTCCTTTTATTTGTAGTGAATTTTTCTTCTCTCAATGGTATTACTGCAATAAGTCAGTCATTATTTCTTTATGTTTTCCTTCCTTTCGTTAGTATTTCATTTCCCTTTACAGCACATCTTGTGATCACAAAGAAAACAGAGACACTTATTTCTTTTAACAGTTGAAATTGCTGCAAGTGATTTAGCTGTCATTTAATTTGATTCCTCTCTTCTGTCTGTGGAGAAATATGTTTAATGTACTGGAAATTATGTTAATAAGAAAAAGCATTATCTCATTTAATGAAATAAATATACAAATATTTCAAAATAAAATAAAGAGGCAATCTTCACCGAGAAAAATGTCTCTTATGGTTTACATAAAATAAACAAATGAGGAAAAAATCATGAATACATTGAAACACTGACAAAAATTATGCCTGCATTCAAGGGGGGAGTGGGAGCTTGGTAACTGAATTACCCACAACTTAATCAAATATTTTTAAAAAAAATATGGACACATATTAAAGATCAAATTATTAATTTTATGTTTCCAATTACCTCAAGCAAGATTATTTCCTTTTTCTGAATATAAGCTAGGTTTTTGAAAAGTTTTCTTTGTATTTTTTCTATTCTATCTCAATTGGTCTTTCAACGATTGCTATTGCTCAAATTAATAATTATCAGCAATCTCATTGAAAACATGACCAACAATCCATGTAACTATAAGAAAGGTTAGAATTCCTTTGATTTTGCTAATCAAAACAGAGTCAATGAACTCGTTCCAAAGCTTTTATATATTAAAATTTATCTAATGTACAAAAAGGTTAAATAAATATTGTTAGTGATTTGAGCTAAACTTGAAGCAATTATGTAATAAAAGCATGACCACAGTAACAGAAACACATAATTAGCAATTTAATTACTGGCATGAAGACAAGCTAAAGATGTCAATAAAAAAAAAATCTTTAGTGACAAGCCGATTTTATTCTCTTTGCTGCAATTTGAGAGAAATACGCACCACCTGATGAGCAAAACCACTTTTATACAAAACACCTTACCCCTCCATAAACTGAAATATACCCAATTTAAAATATTTCTGATTTCATATTGCATAGTGAATCATTACATTTTCTCCCATTTACATTAGCACTTTCTCTTCTCTGAAAATACAATGTGTCCAGTTAGCAAGTAAAGAACATTATGTTTTTTTTTAAAAAAATGAGTTAAAGTAGCAGGTGTTCTTTGTTTCAATTTCATTTTTTTCCAGCTTCAATAATATGTTTGATAGCAATGCTTCCCTGTATATGACATTCCAAATATCCTATCTTTTCTTATCTTCTAAATTTCAGCTGAGAAACACACACAAACCATCAATTGTATTAAAAGAAAATAAATTCTAACCATAGTAGAAAGAGTGAGGCTAATTGGGCATTTCTTTCGGTCTTTCACAATTTCTTTCCCTCCCTCATCTCTGTAGTTAAGGTTATAGGTGGGAAATAAAGGAGAAAAATGAGTAAGTTCAGTTTATTGTGAAATGGGTCCCTTGTGTTTTTTCATCACAATCCCAAGTTTTGGATTTTTAAACAGTCCTGAACTACTTATCTGAAAGTGTTCAATGCATCCTTACCACCTTCTATGTCACTAGTATTTAACCAGTAGCAGAAAACAGATACCTAGACAGAACCATACTGAAAGTTTTCCATCTTGTGATGAAAAGTGAATCATCTTGGCTGGTGTTCAATAGCCACTTGTACCAGCCCAGTACATGGAGTTAAATCATGAAAGACAGACTTGCTAAGACAGTTGGTTTATAAATACCCTTGGGGCATGATAGAATACACTTAAAACATAAACTCCAGCCTCTGAGAACATAATAAATAACTTCTATTAATAATACCATTGTCTTTTATCATGAACCTACTGATTCTGATGATTTTAACATATAGTTCCAATTAGATATCCTAACTAAACATTTCAGTCTAGAGAGAAGGTATAGAATACAAACTCAAATGTTCTAAGGAAATTAAAAATACTTTAAAAATATTTTTTATTTAGCCATAACCTGATAAATATTATACAAGAAAAGCAAATAATTGGGAGATGATTTTTTGGAGCCTCTTGGCTAATGTATTAATAACTAGAATCATTAACTTCCTACATATGTTTAGATTAAAGGTCCCTCCTTTTAACAAAGAGCTCCCTTTTCCAGTGAGCTTTTGATCACTGTTTAGTATACATCCCTATCAGCTTCTAAGTTTCTGTTTTAACTATAAACCTAAGCTTACTTGGATTTTCAACTATAATCATCTAGCCTTCAAACTCATCTTCTTTGTACACTTTTACAGTCCAGATACAAGGAGTTGCCTAGTGCTTTGTTATTTAAAACCAAGCATATTAATTTATAAACCCCATGTAAGACTTCCTGTACTAGCCATTATGGAAGCTAGTTAAGCAAGGGTACCTGCCTTTAGGAAGCTTACAGTCCAGTTAAGAAGATGGTATGTCCAAAGGTAATGTTGCCTCATAATTCAAGTGTAGTTATGATAAATGCCTAGGAGCTGACACAATAAATACAAGAAAGTTCATAAAATAAAGAGAACACAGGGTCTTTGTGAGTCACCCTCTTTACAAGCAAGTACTATTGGGAGAATTTTATAAATCTTTAAAATGCAGCATATCATCGGAACTTAGGAGCTAAACAGTCCCTTCTACAGGTGAAGAAACTGAGATCCAAAGAGGTTAAAGCACAAATGTATTAGACTGGGGACACCATCACAGTTTTGTTGACTTCGAGGCATGAAGAAGAAAACATCTGAGATGAAGGAATGACCAAGGGAGAAAGTCAGGTAGAGAGGAAGGGAAGGGATTCATGCAATATGTGTAGGACTAAGGTGGACCTAGGGAGGGTAGCAAGAGCAGTGAAAGAAAGATTGGAAATTTAAAAAGACAGGATTCATGGATAACTGGAAATGTGTTCTCTAGGTAGCAAGGAGCCTTTAGCAGTTTCTGAACAGAATGGTGGCATATGAATGCAGAATGAAGCTCGGATTGAAAGGTGAGAGACAAAAGACAAAAGATGGATGCTGTTGGTGGTCCACTGAGACTCCTTGACCCAGGTACACCGTACACCCTGCCCCTGCTGCTGGCAGAGTTGGTGGCTAATGGCTTCCAGCTGCCCCCTTTTCTGCAAGAATGCCCTCAGCCTCACAGGATCCACTTCACCATAGAGGTTAAAACTCTCTCCTCCAGCAACCCCCACACAAAAATTGCCTGATGGGAGGGAGCGGGCAAGAAAACCCACTTTCTTTGATTTGAGGGACATCAACTTTGTGGGGTAAGCGGTAGCTAGACTCTAGCTGAGACCACATGCCCTGCCCTCTTTCCTCTCTCCCGTTCTCTTCAATGCATCCTTGTCTCAGGGAAGCCTACCTGAGAGGAAGCAGTTAAGTGCCTGCACTGTCTTCCTCTCCCTTGGTGGAAGAATGAACCATGATGTTAACAGGTCAGTGACAGAAACATTACCTGACTCACCCAGAAAACAATCACCGCATCGGAAAAGCAACCAGGGCGTGCATGGAGGCTATCAAGATGTGGTTGCATTTTTCTGGTCTTTTTGGCTTTAATTGTTCAAAGAATGAATTTGGATGGCATCACTGGGGGAAAGTTTATAATTCAACCACTCTAGTCTGCACAGGAGATACAATGAAACTTCCACATCAGGTGGATATAAAAAAAAAAAAAGTAACCCAGCAGACACTCTGGGGTTCCCCATCCAAACCCCACATGAGCTTCACAATTTAGTAAATCATTAACTTCCATTTCTTACCCAACTGGAAAGGTCCCTGCTATGTCTGAACAAAAAAAAAAATCCTAAATTTACATCT